ATTTTAAATTACGATATTCCCTCAACCATTTACAAGAAGTTCTCAACTTTATAAAATAAATCTTCAAACAAAACAACCAATTGAAAGTTTACAGAAAATGACTTCAATTTAATTTAACCTTAATAGGCATTTGAATGACTTTTTAGTTAAATTTAACTCACAGATACAAATCATTTAAAATTAATAATAAATTACAAGTTGCAATGATTCGTTTATAATATTTTTTGAAACAGGTACATAAAAATGAATTATATTTGCACTAGATTAGATTATGTTACAGATAGTTATTTTTGTTGCATAAACTTTATTTATGTTCATACTTATGTTATAATCATTGGTTTTCAGAGGACAATATAAGTCGAAGAAGAAGACGTCGATTTTTCCCATCAGAAGTTTTAGAGCAGGCCAAAGAAGCTTACTCGAGCGATGGAAACCGTAAAAGTGATAACGACACTGCCTGCATCGCATCTCCAACGTCTTCACTTAGCACTACCTCATCAAGAACGCGAAGCCCTCCTAGAAGATCCGAACTTAGTATTCACATGCAAAACGCTCGAAAGGGTATTTTACCGTCATACTCTGAAATGGGAAAATACCGAACCCCATCATCGAAAACTGCCACGATTAATACAAGAGAAAAATACAAGCCTTTTAGTGCAGTAGAAAACGAACTTAGTCATAGTGTTACCGATAAGGACAAATTTCTTTCTAAAGTAGGCAATAAAGAAAACATTAAGCATAACACTAGCGATAAGGACATAATTAAAGTTAATAATTATAATGTTCGTAAAGATGGTAGGACTAAATCGGCTGATGTCTGCCAGTCAGATAAATTATCCCGCCTTTCAAGTGTTTCTAAGAGAATGGACGAATTGACGGCATTGACGAGGGAGACATTAGCGAGGGTTGAAAAATTGTCTCATGCTACATTTTCTAATGGCCGTTCGAGTTCTTCATCAAAAATATATGATAAAATATCTGACAACGAAGTCTCATCTTCTACGCCGACGCACAGCTTTAAACATGTTTCAAATAGATCGAGTGATGATGAGAGACGTCCACCTTCTATCCTGAAAAAGAAACTTTCAGATGAAATAGTCGAACACTCTACACCAATAACAGCATCAGTTAATGTACCTGTTTCGATTTTAAAAAGAAAATCTTCCCACGAAGATCACAAAATTTCCAATTCAGCGGCTGGTTCCGCTTCAAATCTTCCAGTTACATTTTCCCCAAGTGTCATTGACCATTCGTCGTCCTCGTTGAGAAAACAAGGGATTCTTAAAAAGCGCAGAAGTCTCGACGAATCGCATGTACACAGGCAACGAAGTTGTAGCCCCGAAGGTAAACAAGAGTCTCGATCCATTTTAAAAGATCAACGAAGATCATCTCTGGAAATGATCCGATCTAAATCTCCCGATGCTTTACAAAGCATTTTGAAACGTAAAATATTCCGAAATGACGATGAAGTTTACACACCACTAAACTCACCGGAACCACAGGGAATTCTTAAGAGAAGATCAGGTGTCAGTAGCGCAGGATCTAGCAGCAATGCTCCTCATATTTCCATAACAACTGCAGTGATTTTGGCAGCTGCTGGAGGTGCTGAAATGGTCCTGGAAGCCAACGAAACCGTAAAGCCAATCCTTAAAAAGAAGAGCTCAGATGAGCTATCCGTTACAGAACCAAGCAGTGTCGAAACTCCTAAGCCAATCTTAAAGAAGAAATCCAGTGTCGAAAAGGAACCACTAGAAGATAAACCTAAGAAACCTATTTTGAAACATTCTCGAAGTTCGTACGAAGAAAGGGATTCTTCAGACAATTCGGAAGTGTCAAGACCTGCCTCTTCTGCGTTTAAATCTTGCCAAGATGAAGAATTTGAGGTCAAACCGATCTTAAAACAACCATCTAGAGAAAATTCCCCCAGACCACGACTTTCTTTCTGCGAAGATAACCAGTACACGAAATTTGATGATAGTCACGTTGTCTTCAGGAAAAGAAAGATAGCACGAAGGTCACACACTATCAGTACAGATGTAGATGTAGAAAATGTCATGAACAAATGTGGTAGCGACGAATCGAGTCCCCAAAACACTCGACCTCTCTCAGTTTGTGAAATGATCAAAAATTTCGAGAAGAACATGCCATCCACTGGAGCCGTACCAAAAAGATCGAGTCTTAACCGGAATAGTGATAGGTACCACACACAGCCAATTACCTTCAGTGAACTTGAAGCAAGGTAAGTTTAAGAAGTTTAACATCTTCTTTTTTTTTTGTATTGCTTGATTAGTAATAATTATTGGTTTTTGCCTTAATCCCATTTTGTTAATGTAGACGCAATTCAAAAGTTACTATGTTGTTTATTTACTTGCTTCATTTACATAATTATGCAAAAAGAAAAATAAATTATTGTGACATTTTTGACGTTTGCATCTTTTTGTTAATATTTTGAGGATTTTTTTTAAATTATATTAGCAGTTTATTGAAAAATAAGTTCAACAGTCAAGATTTAACTAAGTTTTAAGAATATACGATATTAAAATGTAAGTTTGCGTTTTCGTCGCATTTTATGTCATTTGAGTATGTTTCATTTAGCGAATTTTTTTGTGAATTATTTGCATAAATAGTATTGAAATTCTCTAATAAAATGTCGAATTGAACAATTATTTTATAAATGTTGGTAATTCACACGACGCCGATGTATCTCAAAAATGTGTAAAGATTTTTTTGTGTCAATCGTTTTTCATAAATTTTAGAATTTTTTTTAATCATAAACTTTTGTCACTTAACTTATTATATTGCAATATTTTAATAATTCATTGCAATTTAATATGCGCCTACAAATAAGGGTAAGTTAAATTAGACTACCCAACTCTAAGTCGTCAGACAACTGTTCATACCTTTACACCATTGATACTTTTCCGTATTTTTGTTCAAATACAAATGGGCATTTACGGGAACTTACGGGAATTTTTTTGTTCGGATTTTCACGCGATTTGGAACTAGTCCGTATATGGAAGTACAGTCCGTTCCCCCTTTGTAAGAAATCATAAGTAAAATATGAATCCTTCCTTCTTGAAAGTCTTTTCTTCGTCTTCTCTCTTGAGCGCCCAGGTTTTTGCACCCGTTGGTTAAATAAAATTGTATGGCAGTTTCAAAAGGAATAATAAACGTATTGATAGTAAACAAAATTGTTTAATAATATTAATTATTGATTCATAATTGGATGTGATAAAAANCGCCATAGATTGTTTCAGTAAATCACCGACTATAAGCTACGTAGATGTAGGCCTATTTTTATACTTCCTTGCATGGTTGATACAGATAAATGGATTTAGAAATAAATTGTTTATATGTTTCGTTTCCTTTAAGTGATTATGGAGTTTCAATAAGTAAAATTTTCTACAATTAATTATGTAAGACCAAAGAACCAAAGAGAACCGTCAATGCGTCAATAATTACCCAATTGTTAAAATTTTATGTTGGAATGTTTAGATGCGTCCACAGTGACAATAATTATTGTAGCATCTTGGCATTCATTATTACATATACTTGTCTTATAAGGAATAAGGTCTTATTGTGACACCCTTCGGTGCAATTACTTGATTAATGGAAGTCCCTATTCGTACTTTATCCATAATATACAGGTGTCTGAATTCAGTCGCCAATATCCAGTTATAGATTGTTGTTGCGATTTAGTAAGGTCAACTTGACTTTCATTTCTTAACGATACCATAAAAAGGCGTGCATGCGGTAGGCATTTATTTCTTGCATGATGTGAATCAACTGGGATTGTCGATTTACCGATAGACATAACAGACGAAAGTCGGTGTTAATTTTATTGTTTCGTAAAACTGGATGCGGTGCATATAATGAAGTCGAAACTGACGTGAACGTGCCATTTATGGGTTGACGCAGAACCGTTAAAAAATTGCGGTAATGTACGAGCATTTATGTAGGTAGGCATATAATATGGTGATTTTTACACGAACATGAACCGATTTTGGGTCACGCAGTTTCTTTAATAGGAAATTTAAATATTAGAATTAAATTCAATTCCATTAGCGCACTTAGAGTTCTATACCGTTCATCTTTCTCTCATTAACCGTAAAAACGTTAAAAATGGAAAGTTTTTATCACAGATTATAAAACCAGTTTGTTTGTTTGACGTATTGAAAAAGCTCTGGAATAATTGTTTTGATGAATTCTGTTCAACTTGAAACTTGATCAAATTGAACAGCATTTATCACTGTTAATGTAGAAAAGAATAGTGCGGTCATATATACCTAAATGACAATAAAATACAAACATTTCATTAAGGTGATCATCGAAACCGTGTAAATTTTCGTACAGAATTAAGAAAAGGATTAACGAAGCCTCTGGGCCGCTATCTTAGAATGTATAGTCTTTCTAAAAAAAGAGACCTTTTTGTAATTTCAGTAGGTACCTATAAATCGATTTTTGGAAAACAGGGATATGTAGGTAGTTTTAGCAATATGTTGCAGAAAAACTGGGAATATATTGTTACAGGCCCTTTACGCACTAAATATCTAATAAAAATATGTAAAAAAAGGTGGAGGTGCTAGGTTTCGTATTCAAATACGACGAATGATATACAGTGATCCAATAAAAAGGCTCCTTTCTTTTGAAATATGCAAAGTTCAATTCTAATGTGGCTAATTAAACCTGAACCTTACAACTAATTATTCTATCCCTTTGGAACAGTAATTCTTTTTGGATAAAAGGTACCCTATGTTCTTTTCTGTACCCCTGACAATGCATGTACAAAATTTCATAATGATTGGTTGAGCAGTTAGGGCGTGAAGTCGTAATAAATAAACAAACAAATAAATTCACATTCGTTCGTTTATAATATTAGTTAGTACTATCCTACCCTACTCTCCATAATCGTGAATCTCTATTGTCAATTTGTTACAATGTTTCGTAATCATTATATCTGTCATTAATAAAACGGTTGTTGTATAATTAATTTGTTTTAGAAAAGTCCAATTTGTCTATCCAGCGGGTGCGAGTCGCAAGGTAGTTCTAAACCCGAACGGGATAAAAGTGGAAAGAGAAAATCGAATTTGAACCGAGCTCATACTTCGGAAGAAGTACCAGATCAGTACGGTGGAGGTATGTATATATATTTTTTAATATTTTAGAGGAGTAAAATGGATAATATAGAGGGTGTGTCTCAATAAATATTTGAGAGTTCAGTAGCAATTAAGTTCCGGGATTTTAGCTATAACGTTCTTCTAACAACAATGATGCAGGTGTCCAACTTGCATTATTGTTTCCTTTAGTAGGTATCAGTAGACGTTTGAAGTCGATAGGCTGTGATTTTTAGTGACGTCGCAACATTGAATGATCCAAATTATAAACAACGTGTCGTGATACAATTTTTGAAGGAGAGCGTTCAAGGAAAGCAAAGATGTTCAAGTCTAAGCTGAAGAAGATTCTCATTGGTTTTACTATATTCACTGAATTTTCTCGCTTATTCTTCGATGATATTATCCGCGAGTATTTGGCAAACAAGATATCTCTAAATTGTCGCCTCCTCTGTACAGCCCGGATTTAGCCCCATGTGACTTTTTCTCTTGTCAAACAAAAATGAAATCTCATCTTGAGGGTACGCATCATGGAGGTCAAGGCAGCTGTGTCAACGATTCAGGACTTCATAACTACAAAAAGCTATATAGGCTGGAAATGTAATAGTAACGGTATATGGAGGATGACTACTGTGAAGGTCGATAATAAAATATTGAAAAATAAATCAATTTGTGTTTTATTTAGGTACCAAATACCGGAACTTAATTGCTACTCCGTTCCATACAA